CTCCTAATTTGGCATTTTGGAGTTGCACCCTTGAGAACATTAAAAATTTTGAACATTTATGGCATGATCTTTTTAACAGCACTAGAAGCAGCCTATTTCTGGTAGTACTACAAATGGATGACAATGTTTTCTCTTATGCTAGCTGTGAAACTATTTGGCCAAAGGCAGCAGTAATTAGACCTTCAGTTTACACATAGTTTTCATTGATTACAGCAAAGGTTGCAAACTCCATTTCATAGGGCTGAACTCAGGATCAGTCATGGTTCTCTCTCTGCCTTCTTTCCCTCTTGAAACTGGACCTGGCTATTCATAAGTACTCTTTGGAATATTGTCCTCCAAAAAAAGGTATTTGTTGACCCGCTTGTTTACCAGTTGAGGTCAGACTCAGATTAAACCATCTTCCATAAGTAGAAAAAAACCTGCAAATCTTAGTAATTTTTAAAAAATTCATCTACTGAAATTGAGGGAAAGACTTAAAAAGGAGAGGAACATTGTCTGGTGGTTAACAGGACTCTGGATAACAAATGTGATGGATGCTTTCCTTCCTTTATTGTCAGCTTGGGTGTAAACCGAGGTGTTCAACACTATTTTTCAGAAGTGTTGAACACCTGCTGCGTCCGCTGAATTTAGTGAGACCTGCAGCTGCTCCCCCCATGTTTTATATACGGGTGGCTGACTCCTCATCTGGGCCTCTGTCAAGCAGGATGGTAACAGCCACCTCCTCAGTGAGCTGGCAGCCTAGCAGCCAATACTTGGGAAACCTCTTGTTAAATAAAAGATCAAGTGCCTTTAAAAGCTTTTGGGAGTTAGATATTTTTTCATGGTACAAACTACATGATGAGGCTTTATTGTCTAAAGTGCTCTACAAGGATATTGGTATGACCTGCTTCTTGTCAATAAAGTAAGATTAGACTTCTGTACTAATTGTAAAGGAGGCAGACTGTTATGGGATTAGTGTTGTTCAAACTCATTTATCCATGTGTCCTTAGTTCCAGAATGCATTCTTCCCATCCAGTAGGGTTTCTTAGTTATTTTTACAAGCCTGTTTCCCCTACCAAACTCATAGCTTGGTGGAAATATACTCTAGTATAAAAAAAAAAAAAAAAGTAGGTAAGTCCTTAAATAACTGTACACAAAAAAAAAACAAACCAAAAAACAAAAAAAACCCCCACATTTATCTACCATACTCATCGATGACAGTGATTAGCTGCACAACTTATTTTAAATTTAAAACCTGAATAAGACACATACAGAAACTCTAAAAAATTTTCTATCGCATGGATTATTTTCTTTTAAAATGGAAAAATTTTTGCCCCTTCCATGCATCCGTGTTTCTCCTCCCTTCCATAATGAATTCAGAAATATGAGCAGGGAATCTTTCATTTTAAAGGAGATGAAGATTGAGATGTTAGCCTTTTTATTGCAGAATAAATTATCGAAGTGAAAATCAAAACTATCAGTCAAGCAGAAAATTCCTTATCATCTTTTCAGTGTCAGTTCATATTTCATCGGTGTTAGCCTTGTGTCTCACTACCCATCAGTGTTTTGACATTACTGACAGACAGAAAGGGAATTCCTGAAATTTGTGAGAGGTAGACTAAAATAAAGATTGAAAACAGGTTTTGGTTTGGGATTTTTTTTTTAATGGATTTACTTTTTTAGGAATGTGCCACCTGAAATACTAGACTTTCTTAACTCTTTAGTGAGAGAGCATCAAATAGTCATAGGGTATAGAAAATAAAGCTGGTGTCCAGCCTGTAGTCACATCTTCCTCTGCATGGTACTTTTAAAGGCCCTGTTATAGAACAACACTGTGAACTATCCCACCATTGCCAGTAATTTTTGCCTGCTATGATTGCTTCTGCTTTACAAGATAATTTCCTGAGTACTTGCAGGTGGAAATGTAGCACTATCCAAAACTAACTAATCCAAAACCAGCAACACACTGAGACTCTGTTGACTTATATAGGCTACAGATCATAGGGGGTTCACGGAGGGAGACGTTACACAGCTCCCCAACTTGGCAAAAACTGAGGTACACTTCTTATGAGTGCATTTTGGGAACCTGGAGGCTGTGGGTAAAAATTGGTGGCTATATTTCAAACCTGAAGTGGCATGCCCTGAACCATAGTCAGGCAACACCTAGACCATAACTAGGTGGGTGCAAGCTAAAACGGCACCAGGGAGCATGACGGTGATAAAAGAGGATGCACAACTGCAAGGCAGTTTTCAAGTATGAGCATTAACCCTGTGTTATCTTTTAATAGAGAAAAGCCTCTAATTCTTTCATGCCTGTGTAACAGTTTATAAAAGCATCAGCTTGTAAGACTCAGTGATTTTTCATGTGAACAAAGCAGTTGTACACATTAATATCCTGCCTTGGTAGCTCTAAACATTTATCCATAAGATATATGAAAAGATGTAAGTATTGCTGCAATTTGCATCCCCTTCCCAGCTTAATCTCATCCAATCCTTATATATAAGAATATAGAGATGAATTCTGATTGTGCTCATCTGTCATTTACAGCAACAGCATCTTGGACATGTACAAAATCCTTTCCTCCTTGGTGTCTGAGCAACACTTTCTGTGACTTACCCATAGATTAGGGGTATAACTTAACTGGTAATTTCCATTATTTATAGTCATCAAACAAATGATTTATTGACATTTTTGTTTCTCGGTTTGACTTCATTTGACTACTTGACTGCATAACATTTGATTCTAAAATGAAAACTGCTAAGCAGAATGGTTTATATGTATATATATAGTCAATATGTGTATTTTAAATATATTTTTATAAAAACACATGCACATGTATTTGCAAGCACACCCTGACAGAAATTCATCCTCTTCCACTTCCTTCCTCTTCCTCCTAATTTTTGTCTATTTGTAGAATTTTAATGATCGTGTTTACTAAAAAAGGAAGATACATAAAATAAAAGCAGGGGACATGTCAAATGGAAAAGGCACTATAAACAAAAATATGGGGAGGAAAAGTGAAAAAGAACTGAAGAGAGATTGTAACTGGGACAAAAATAAGTCCCCTATTTATACTAAATTAGACATTGTGTCTAACCTGTGGCCTTGTGACCATTGTCTTTATGCTTAATGAAACTCATTCAGTTCACTGAAGTCACAGAAAATACCTGTTTTTCATCTTGTATTAATTTTAATTTGTAGCAGGCATTTGTTATTCTAAGGATCATTGCAGCTCATTTACCTTAAAGAAGGAGTAAAGCAGAGCTCAGAAAACGATAGGGTACCCACAAAATGACTGTGGGGAGCTGTGCCCCAAGTTTCTGCAGGGGGTAGATGTCATCATCGTAGTCAAACTGTTTCAACCTGGGCTGAAATGTGAAAACCCTTCACTTTTTGGTTCTTATTCATCCCAGCATAAAATCAGTAAGTCTCCCACAAGCCGCTTCCCCACATTCTGATCCCGAACTCATAAAAATTAACAAAAGCCTTCTTCATGGCTATGGAGAGCTTTGGATTGTTTATTTCTGAGTGGTTGTCGTGAGGATTTCACAATCAGAAAGGAACATGGTACTCCAGAGAGCCTCAGCTTGCTTTGGCTGTGAGCCATTCAGGGGCAGTCCCCCTCTTTTTTCCGAGTGGACTATGGCGCATACAGAGATTGTTATACAGAAGGGATCTCTAAACTAAATCCTACTTTTCTTCTTCCTCCAGGTTAGCACTCTTTCTCCCCTTCTTTTCATTATATATTATATTTGGCTTTCATTATGGGCCAATACAAAGTCATGGCTGGCAGCCAAGCTGTTCAGTAGAGCTCAGTAGTTTTGAGAGTTTTCCTGGCTCTCTTAATGATTTGTTGTGTGGTTTTGAGCATTAGTCTTTGCCTTTGCTTATCCATCTCCCCAGAGCAATAGAGATCATTAATCATCACTGTAAGCTCTTCTGAATCCTAGAGATGAAAAGTGATCATTATTAATGCTCTTAATTCATAGGATATACATTTTCACTTGAACTGCTTAACAAGTAACTTCACTGTTCCATTGAGTCAGACCTGGAAAACCTTTTTTTTTTTTTGCAGAAGAATGGATTCCTAGAAGCCGACAATTTCACAGAAGTAGCTTCTAGTCTTCTCTTACACATATCTAATCTGTGTATTACTTTAATTAAATTTATATGTAAAACACTTGTCTAGGCCCAAAGTTTATAAACAGTTTGTTTCCTAGACTTTTTTTTTAATTACATTTTCATATTTCTTTTCTTAAAAGAGACTTTGACTTTGTTTACAACTACAGATTTCCTTTTTGATTTCCCAGTCATGATTTAAAACAGCAAATGGATCTACAGACTGCAGGGAGTGCATTGCTCATCTTTCCTCTTTTCTCCTGTTGAAAACCAGTGATCCAGAAAGAAGTTACAATCTAATGAGAAGAGAAATCCACAAAGCCATAACACACACAGATCCATACAAACAATCTTTGACTTTCACAGTTAAGATGCAAATAATGAAAGACTCCTCCAGCAGCAGTCAGCATGGATCAGATCATCACTGCTGTAGTGCCACCGCCTTCAACAGTTACACAGAAATCAGGGCTCAGTGGCTCAAACTCAGCATTTTAGTGGTTATTATCTTTCAATACTACATCTGTAAATTGTTCCATAAAATTGTTAATTTTCTTTTTCCTCTCTCACCACTTATCCCCCCATTGCAATGTTACACGTAGATGCTCAGCCTTAATTGGTTTAGTTGTGAGAAGATAATCTTTTTTTCCTCCTTTCTCGCTGTTGCCTGTTAGCTTAAAGACTTTTTAGCTGAAGGCTGATAATTATCATTGAGAAGAAACTAGCACGTCAGGAGTTCATTTTCCATCTTAGCACTTGTGGCGCTCCTTTGAACTCCTCTCGCCAAACCCACGTTCCCACTCTGTCACTTTCCTCCCTCCATCATAAAAAGGTCCCGGGAGCCGGCGGCTCCAGCCTTTGCTGGCGGGCAGAGGACATCACTTCTCCCCAGTGCTCCTCCAGCATGGACAAGCTGCACGAGACCTTGGTGAACATGGAGGACGCTTTGAGTTCAGAGCACTCCGTCTGCCTATCGTCCTGGGACTGGAAAAGCGCTGCCGGGGGGTTTGAGCTTCACCCCGTCCCGTCCCCACACAGCTTATCCCCGACGCCTTCCTTCGAATCCTACTCTTCATCGCCTTGCCCGACGGCAGCAGAGACCCCCTACGGCAGCAGAGCCCCCCTACGGCAGCGGCGGCAGCCTGGTGGGCTACAGCCTGGTGGACTTCCCCCCGGCGTACCTGCCCAGCCCCGGGCAGGCGCGGCTGCCCAAGGGCACCAAGGTGCGGATGTCTGCCCAGCGCAGGAGGAAGGCCAGCGAGAGGGAGAAGCTGCGGATGAGGACCCTGGCCGACGCGCTCCACACGCTGCGCAACTACCTGCCCCCCGTCTACAGCCAGCGGGGACAGCCCCTCACCAAAATACAGACCCTAAAGTACACCATCAAGTACATCGGCGAACTGACGGAGCTCCTCAACAGCGTCAAGCGGGCATAGACCACAGCGGGACCGCCCGGCCCAGCGCGCGCGGGGGCTTGACAGACAAAATCCAGCCAAATTTCTTCCTCACCAGAGTACGGTGCCACGGGGTGCGAGAGGACGGAGCGAGAGAGGGAGAGCGAGGGCCACTGTTGTACATAGGATGCGGTGCTGGAAGGTGATGTAGGATTGCCTAAAACCTGAGCTGCACGTTGCTGAGACAAGTCTTGTTATTTGCTTTCTTAAATTTCTTTTTTATGATTTTTTTTTTTAACCAATAAGGTTCTGAGATGTATTAAACCTAGCCTGATACAAAGGTAAAAACAAAACCAACTGATCTTCCTAGGATTTACATATCGCTGTTATGACTGATTTTCTGTTTAATAAGGACAGTAGTAAATCCACAGGTTTTAAACTGAATTTTTTTAAAAATTACAACAACACTATAAGCATATGAAGTGTATTGATTTGTAGGCACTTTAATGCTAGGATGAGGAAAAACATACATGCATAGTTAGTTCAATATTGTCTATTTATCCATCTTTCCACTGTACCTAAAAATCAAGAAAATGAGTAATCGTGAGAACATCTTTACTCATAAACAAATAAATATCAGTATCATAGACTATATCTTGTATTAGATCTGATTGGTAGACAAGTAAAATCTAGCAATGACTGCTAAATATTGGAAATTAAATATAAGCAAACTGACATTTTGTATAAGTAAGTTGCTGTTAAATCCTATCTTCTTTATTATATAGAGAGAAATGTATAATTTTTCTGTATTTAATGTATAAACCCCCCTTACTTCAATGCTTGATAAATTATGTAAGACATTTTCCCATCAAATAGCTAGAACAAATAAGATTAGGCTGAGTTATATTCCTTCTCTCTGACATTAAATAAATTGACTCTGGTATCAGAAAGAGGCAAAGTTTTATCCTCAACATGTACTTAAATCTATGAGGGCTGTAGTAACTGTAACATCTCCTTACTAAAAGCTGTCAGACCAGTTGTTTCCTACAGCTGGTGGCAGTCCTGTAAAACACACACATGAAACCTTCAAAACCTGAACAAATAAGTCTTACACCTTAATTAGTCTGATTTTCATCTAACAGGTATCACAGAGGGCTCACCACACCACCAGAAAAATACGGATTGCTTTGTATATCTCATTACAGACTGAAATTCATAAGACTTGGCTGTGCTCAGGCCAGCATCACACGGGTAGGAGCAAAACCCGGGGCTGAGTTTCATGGGGCTAATGAAGTGTGATTACCCTTTCCTCTGTGGGGAGATGTACAGCACAGAGAGAGCAGCAGCCAGGAGGTAACAGGCATGTCTCACCAAGGATGGATAGATCAGCATGTCTGCATGAGGCAGGTTTTTAAAAAAGGTTTGTGGATACATCCTGTAACAAAACACCACAAAGCTAAAACTTTATTCCATCCTTTTTTTTTTTTTTTTTCACTTTCCCTCTTCTGTTTGTTTGGAAGAAAATACAGTTGTTTTTGTACATTTTTTTTTCCAAGGCTTAGCCTAAAATGACTCATATGGTACATGCTGATGGAATTCACACCGATTGCTCCAATATGCGTCTCAAAAAATCAGCTACGTTCAAATTTATGCAGGTAACATTGTCACATAAGTTGTAAAAACATCTAAGCAGCCCATATGCTTCTGTTTTGTTTTAACCCCTGCTAGATTTCTCCCAAGCTTTAGTGTTTCAGCAGGGATAGAAGTAGAATTATTTTTAAAACCTTGTAAAATTATCAAACTAGAGAGAAGTCTATGCACATGAGATGGCAGCAATAATGTTGGCATAGCATTCCTCAGTCTAAGCCTGTGCAACTAATCCACATTTGAGCAGATAGAGTCACGTAGAGAAGGTTGTGTTGTACTTTGCAAGGGAATGAAATTGCACCTTGCCCATGGGATCTTGCATAGAGCCATAACTGAGAGCTTGATCCCATGTCCTTTCTCAAAGATTGTCGTTGTCACTGACAGCTGTGAAGGGGTCCCTGCTCACCAGCACATACACAGGAAGATAGTCCTATCATTCTGTGGTGTTAGTTAAAGATGAACATTATCCACAAGTATAGTGCTTGGGTATATTGTTTATTCTTGGGAAGACTATTAACCCCATTCCTTAAATCTTCCACACCAGAAATCACAGGTAATGTCTACACATTTCAGCTCCTTATCTAGGGAGTCTGTAGGGTCATGGCTAAAGCAGAGAAACAAGGAGTCCAAAGGATCCACTTTCATTGCTAGTTTATCAATGACCTTGGCTGGTCATCCAGCATTGCTGCCTCAGTTTACCCATCTACAAGTGAAGACTCTGATAGCTAATGGCTTCAGAAGGCTGCTGCTCAAAGACAAAGCTTAGCGCAGAAAGAGGGTCCCAGTAGGAGATACCCTTCAGATTTGAGAAGTAGCTCAGGGTCAGCATTTTCCACACCCCAAGGAAACTTGTAGGTGAAGGTCCTGATTGTACTGGCCTATAGTTTGTTAGATGCCTGGAGAGCTCCTGTCTCTCTGCAAGTCAAAGGTGGAGCAGCAGCTCTAAGTAACCACAAAGACAAGACTTTGAGTTTCAGAAGGATGTCTTACAGCTCCTGTGCCAGTGAACTAGACCTTGCCTGTACTTACACCCTAGCCCCACAATTTCAGTGGCCACTGCCATACCGTTAAATACTTTGAGCCCCAGCACGATGTGGCTGCTTCTAATCTGACCTTAGGGAAGAGTCTGTGCTAAATCACTCCTTTTGCTGCATAGGCCCAAAGCCCATATCCACGATGGTGTTAGTTTACTAGAATACTCTATACTCCTGTGCTATTTAATTTGATCCCCTTTCACAGAATCTTTCCTTCCACCTGCAAGTGAAGGGCAAAAAAAGTGACTGATGGCTATGAATAGGTGGCATAGATAGGTTCAATACCTACCTGTGACTGGGGTCTCCTAGAATCCCTCAGGCTTGTTTCTCCTCTCCCAGAAAGAAATGATTTCTTGCTCCGCCTGACACAGAGCATCTCTACAGATCCCTCCTTTTACAAATATGTAAAGGGTGAGTGTCAGGAAGATGGAATTAAGCTTTTTTCAGTGTTGACCTGTGATAGGACAAGGGGTAATGGGTGCAAATTGGAGCATAGGAGGTTCAAGGTGAATATCAGGAAAAATTTTTTTCCTGTGAGGGTGCCGGAGCACTGGAACAGGCTGCCCAGAGAGGTTGTGGAGTCTCCTTCACTGGAGTCATTCAAAACCCGCCTGGACGCCTTCCTGTGTGATGTACTCTAGGTGACCCTGCTCTGGCAGGGGGGTTGGACTAGATAATCTTTCGAGGTCCCTTCCAACCCCTATGATTCTATGATTCGTAACTCGTCTGCTTGACACAGACATTTCATTGATTCAGAGGAAATACCAAATTATATTCGTGATGGTACAAGTCCTGTTGCTACTAAATGTTAGATTTTATTTGTATTTCAATGAAATGGAGTAGAATCTAAGCTCCTTATGTTCTCTTTCCTTTAGCCCTAGGAATTTAGTATATATAATTGATGTGAAAGAGACCAAGTTAAGTCCTTCTTTTAAGTGTATTAGACCTCACCTCCAGGTGTGTACATAAGATCTATAAAGCTATTCAACATCTCAATAATCCATAGATCAGAGACAAAAAAAAAAAAAAAGATCCTTAGTTTGAAAAACTTGCACAAGTCACAGAAGTAGAGGATATCTCTGCCATACAAGGATATTCTCTCAACACAATATGTTAAAAATCTACATGGAAATAAAGCTGAATTAGAAGCCCAACAATCACTGGAAGTCCATAGCTGAGGATTTAAACCGCATTCTGCCTAAGAGCTAGAGTTGTTCATCTTGCTAAAAAGAAAGAGGCAGAGGAGAGTGAACCTGAGTTAGTCCCAAGCAATGAAATCAACTCTTCTTGCCCCAAGAGCTCCCCTTTTTCCAGGTTAACATGTCACTGATATTCCTTATGAACGTGGAGAGTAGAAGATGGATATTAAAGAAAAAACACCACAACATGATTTTCTACTGTATTTATAGTTCTCATGCAAGAAACTGATGTATGAAATCATAATTCATGAGTGATGTTAGTCATCTGCTGCCCTTTCAGCTTTTTAAGTGCTCATACACTAAAGGGACAAAAACCAATATGGGATCTTCTACAGAAATCAGTTAACTGAAACAGATTTCAGAATCTCAGGAAAAATCTTGAGATACAGAAACCTGACAACTAGTTTGAACTGGTAGTCCACTCTCATCTTGTTGGTGAGATGATTACATGATCCTGCAGCTCCCAGAGTCAATTGCTGCACACTGCATGTAGATATTTTGGCTTTTAAACAAGTGCTCCCAGACATTAAAAACCAGATTTTGTATTGAGCCAGAGAGTGCACATACTCTCCTTGCTCAAAGACACTGGAGAGCAGGGCACTGAAGCAGGCTGAAGGCAAGAAAAGAGATAAGCAAGGGGCACCAAATCAGAGGTGAGATGGCTGAGCCCCTCCAGCTGCTTTCCTGAGCAGGTCTTCACATTCAGATCTGTGCCCTTGCCTCCTCTCTGGGTGAATTTTTGAGGGGGCCAGTTGTGATCACAGAGAGAGCACTTGAAGTTTCAGAAACCAGAGAAGAGGGACTTTTGCCCCACATCCATCCTAACCCTTTTATATCAGGGAAAAATAAGTACGTGAGCAGCTTTATTTAACAGGAGGCACACTGATAGAAGAAATAGTAAATAGAGCAGTACTAGTGGTAAACTAGTAGATAGGGTATTAAACCAGGATTCAGGAGACTTGTATAGTTTCAGTCTCCAAGTCAGGCTTTGCACTTGAATTCAGGAGAGTGACAGCTTCTCTGCCCACCCTGTAAAAAGGCTGCAACAGGGTGGTGCTACCAGCAGCAGCAATACCTAGACAAACACCCTGAAGATGACAAGGAGGCCAAATTCCTTGGGAATCTGTAGCTAGAGTAAGTACTTTGGGGAGAATATTCCTCACTGGTTAAAGAATCACCTGTGAAGAAGTTCCCTAGGCAAGCCCCAGAGCCCACCCCCCACACCCCCAAAGCAGAGTGGAGCTTGGGGCCACCCACCCACCCAGCACTTTGAAATTCTACCCCGAGAAGCGCCATGTAGGTGCCAAGAGGTTTTATGGTTACACATTTGGGCTGCACATAGGTGTGCCTGGGGGGAGGAAAGCCTCCTGTGAGAGGCTTCAGCCAGTTCCCCGGGAGAGCTGCTTATCGGTTAGCTGCCACACTCCCCCTTCTCTCTGCCTAGGGATGCCAGGGGCCATCCCTCCAGCTGTGCATGTCAGTAGCTAAAAAAAAATGCCACAACAATATATATATGTCCTCTGGTTTCTAAGGAGCCAGTACTTTACTGATTTTCACCCCACAACTTCTTTGCCATACAACCAAATTCACAATTATTGCATTTAACAGATGAGAAACTCAGTTGTGAAGAAGCATTTCTTTCAACACACATGCCTGTCTGGGATCTGGGAACATAGCTAACACTGTGCTGTGGTGTTTCTGGACTCACATGCACAAATCAAAGCAGAAATGGTATGAGAGTGACTAGCTGAAGACTCAGACTTGTGGCAGAAGGTAAAACTTGAACTAAAGCTTCCCAGATCATTAGATCACTGTCAGAACAGTTTCTTCTGGATAGAGGTGCATAACAATTACTCTTTTACTGAAGATATTGAGATTTTAAGCAAAAAGCAAAGCAATATACCAAAAGAGAAAATGCATTGGGGCAGAATGTCAATGTTGTTAATTTTTCAGTACTAATAGTAAGATGTTGCTGCTTTAAATCACCAAAGCAATATAGTTCTAAAATGTAGCCATATCATTCAACATAGACTATAGTAAAAAATGAGAGCTCTGCATTTCTATCAGTGACCAGGTATGATGCTACTTGTAGCTCTGACTTTTATTTGAAATGAAAATAACTGCGTGTAGTACACTTCTGTTATTGTTCCTATTTTCCTATAAAAACAAATTGCACCAAACTTCTGTTTTCCCTTAGACTTTTATCATTCACCTGTTGAAATTGCAGAAGACATTAAGCATAAACAAAGAAGATTGATCTGCTTTCAACTTGTGTTAACAGGGATATAAAATAACATCCTAAATACCAAGAGGAAAAGCATGTGGTCATAAAATATGCACTTAAAAGGCAAAGAGGTGTTGAGACAACACTAGAAAATTTTTTTTTAGCTATATATAAAATGTATAAAAATAAATAAAACTAGGAAGACAGTTCCTGAACTTTAGTGTAAATAGATACCTCTGAAGTAGAGAGAGTATTAGTATCAAGTCTTTAAAGGATTGTACTGATATTCAGGTGGCTTTGTGTGTCTTGCATGCTGTTGGAAAATCTGACAAGCAGCTTTCTATAAATCCTTTTCCAACTCTGAAGGAGTATCTCCTGTAATTTTACCACATATCAAAAAAGTAAAGGACCATCTTATCTGTCAGCAATTCTCATTTTGCCAAAAGTCACTAGGCTGTGCTTTTAGTAGAGTCAGAGAGTAGAGCCAGAGTTTACCTGGAAATAGTCCTCCTTTTCAGCAGTTCTTAATTCTTCATCAGCAGATAAACAATCTCAAGATACAGACTAATCTTATGAAAAGAAATTAAGGTGTCTTAGACAAGACTAAATACCAGATTTCTATTCCTATGTTATGTTGTCCTTGGGTCTTGGCATAAAGAAAGGAATGAGAAATGCAGGGAGCCACAACTGAGACTGAGCTCACAGTACTTGAACAGGCTGCTCAGTCTGATGCCTGGTTCTCATTGCAGCCCCTAGCTGCTGTTTTCCACTCAATTCCTGCAGCTGTAAGAGGGGAGAACATGGCTCAGGCTATCCAAGGCAGCCTATGCTGTGCAGGTAGAGCACCGCCATGGCAGAAGAAGATTGACACTCAGCTATCTATGTCACCTATCATTCTATGATTGAAATGTATCTATGATTGATCTGGAGAAAACACTGCATAACAGTCATTGGAGAAAACACCACATAACAGTCATTCCCTGGGAGACAGTCATGATGTAATACAGACAGGGAAGTCACCATACCACTTGAAGTGATATACTTCTGTTCAGTAGATGCAAAACCCTGGCAACATATTTACAGGTGTGTCTTTCAATTTCTTAATAGGTTGTGCCTGTAGACTGAGGAATTGCTAGTACTTAACCAACTGGGTTAACAGCGGGGAAAGCAGTCAGCACAAAGTCATTGACTTATAAGCCTGACTGCAGATTTGACACATTGCACATTTTCCTTCTATTCCCATGCTTTCATATTTGCATCTCATTTCTCAGTATGTTTCATTTCAAAGTTCCACTGCTTTCCTCTTCACCTACGACAGGAGTAACAAGACTCCATAAGCACAGCACCCTCCTTTATTGGAAAAAATAGTCTGGATGCACAGCTAGGGAGATGTCCCTCATGAAGCCCACACAGATTCTCAGAAAATACAGTAAAAGACATCTACTACAGATATGCTTGGCAGGCAACTAGAAGACAAAAATTATAAACATGAACTTGTCATTATAGCACAAGCTGTTTAGTGGGATCTCTGTACAGGTAGCATAGCAACAGACTTAAAATCTTTTAGACAACATGTTTTCACAAAGTGCAAATAGATTCACCAACTAGTTTCCTGCTCAAGTTAACCTTCACAGAAATTACTTGTAGCATAATCTACACGACAAAGTTAAAAGGTGGATGCCCATTATTGTATCTTTAGTCCAAAGGAATAATGACTCATGCTAAGCAATACCTTAGAACAAGAAAATAAAATATTGAATCTGAACAGTTTTGACATCACTGTTCAGATGCAAAGAAGAAACCAAGATATTTTGCTCCCATAATAAAAAAAAAGACAGGATAATCTGACAGGAGCTCTTAAGCATCATATTCTCTACTAAGGAAGAATCTTTCATACTTTGTGGATAGAGTCCATGTATTATACTTACTATTACAAGTCCATTAAAAGCTTTTTTCATTTAGACTGAGAGCTTACTCAGCTAAGCAGTCACTGATACTTCCTGCGAGTGATTTCCCCCCACCTAGGGAAGGCAACTTGACATTGCAGCAGCACAACACTCCTGTGAGAGCCACAGTTTACAGTTTCTGTCAATAGCCACTACAGGATCAAGTATGTTCATCCCCATTTTGCTTTGAAAAAAATCACTTTGTCATACTGACATTAAGCTCCCTGCAATTCTTTGGTTATACTGAATCTCTAAAAAAAGCTCAAAATGATTTACAATCGACTTGACACTTGTTGTCACCTTCCTCCCCCTACTCCAGAACAGATGCTTCCAGCTGCAAAGTGACCAGATACAAGTTTTGGACATGTTAGCTGAGCAGACGAGGTCAGATGCAAGTCACACAAAAGACTAAGAGTTTGACACTGTAGAGGAACACAAGAGAGCAACACACCAATTTGACTTAGAGGCAAAGTTAGATCCATACTGGTTAGCTGACTTTTTTTTCCTCAGTAGACACTATCAATATATTTTCCCAGTAGGTACTTCTGAGATGTCTTCAGTTGTAAGTCTGGGCATGCTGCGCTTGCTTAGGCCACCTAACTGCAACTTCATAAAACTAAATAGTTCTTGTTTAGTCTCCGTCAGAGTGTATTCACCTACCGGGAGAAGAGAGTGCACAGAAGTCTGTTTTAGCAGCACTATGCTTGACATTTCAGTAGTGTAACTTAAGACTGACACCAACCTCTGCTAGTTCCTCTCCTTCCTAACAAGGACTGCTCCAGATGACACTTGCCCATGTGGATGTGGTTCTGCACTGCGGTCTAGTAAGACATTTCAGCTTTTAATTTTTCTGTACAGCACATGCTAGGACTAGGAATTTATCATTTGACACAGCTCATGAGAGCACGTGCCATGTCGCTAGGCAAAGATGCAGGAATTACTTGGGAAGTGGCTGTTTTCTTACCAAGTCTGTGTAACCCGGGATTGCATCTCCATGGACAAACAAAGCTTGAAGGCCTTTGCATTGTGCTGCAGATCACCACACTGCAGTGGAAATACAGCTACAAGACAAGAATATTTGTGTAGGGGAGTTTTCACCGGCAAACATCCAATATGTGTACTAACCCCAAAGGGGTTGAACTGAAAACTGCTAAGTGGCTACTCTTTATATTTACTACTATTATAGCATTATGTCTTCAAGGAGGTGGCTAATAGCCCCAGGCAGCCAGCTGAGACTCTCTACAGCATTTCCTGCATGTACCACTCCAGACTCATATTGGTACTGCCAACAGCATGTGACAGACCACAGAGATCTCACCTGCTCCTGTGACAGATTTGTGCCCTGTAGAAAGGTGAACATCCTCACTTCAAATCTCTTTAGGTGCTGAGGAAGTGTTACTCTGAAGGTATAATTAACTTTGTGGAAGACAGTTCTGTAGGAGTCTTCATTATTTTCACACCTTTTTGGGAAAAAGAAAAAAAAATTTCTTTTATCTAAACCGTCATTTGAACCAGATCTTTAAACAAAGAAAAGAAGAGTTTTCCTCAGGCCATAGGGGTATGGACAGAGCCTCCCCCATTCACAATCCCTGCCTTTGGGCACAGTCAAGATTACTTCTTGTTCTTTTTTTCCATCTGGAAGCCATTAGCTAGAAGCACTTCTGGGCATCCCCTTGAGCTGCTGACACCAGAAGGCATAGCCACTGTACCAACACTGACATGCTTCACAGCCTAGCAGCAATACCCATGAGGACAAAATGCATCCAGGCCAACTTCCGTCCCCTTCCCTTTTCCTCCCATCTAAGGTAAGGGGCCCTGTGCTGAAAAGTTACCCAATACAGGAGGGAAATCCTTCTCACCCATTTATAAGGATAGGCCACTGTGGAAGGCTGTCCTGGCTTTGAGATTTCGTAGCCCAGCAGTCATCCAGGCTTAACTCCAGTCTTGCATCTTTAGGCTGGAGCAGTTCAACTTCAAAATACAATGCCTCCCTCAGGTATTTTATCACAGGATATTCTGACTCCTGGTAAGGCTCCAAATAGGATTTCTCTAGAAGAGAGTATGATATTAGGATTTCCTTTTTATTAAGTATTCACAAACTTTCTTTTTCACTCTTCCTTCCACCACCATTTCCTCTAATACAGTAGTACTAAAATCTGAGCGAGTGTTAGGATAGCAAGAGTAGGAACTGCCAATGAAAACAAAGATCTGAATTGTATTTCTTGGCTCCAAGGATCCAGAAGTGAGACACTCCTCCTTCTGCAAAACTGCACTGGGAGTATGATACTCATTCAAAACTATCTCTATAAAGGTTGATGCAGTGAGCAAAATTAAATAATTAATCAGGGTCTCTCCAGTCAGAGTTTGGTTCAGGTTCTGGTTAGCCCTCTGTACTAGCGTAGTTACCATTTTACAGTGCTACTACATGTAGGTTCCTTCTCTGAAACAGGTTACAAATATTTCAGTGTGAACTCTGCTTAGCAACACTTAAGGAGTTAACTTAGGGGTGTGACCCACTGCACAAAACTTAACATGCCCAGATCAAGCAGGGAAACCACACATGTCAGTGATGCTAAGTCTGATCTGTTATATATAATTTGACCATTTATGTTGCATTCTAAAATGCAAAATCTCTGTCACAGGCCTTAAAAAGGTTTCCATTTAATCTTTGGATACATTAAAAAGTCATCTGGGCGTGGTCCTTGGCAATTTGTTGTAGATGGCCCTTCTTGAGCAGAGTGGGTGGACAAGATGACTTTCAGAGATACCTTCCAACATCAACTTTCAATGATTTTGTGTCTGATCATAACTATTACCTTTGAAGAGCTTCAATGAAAGAGTAAGAGAGCCAAACCCTGGCTTAATGCTGGGTGGTGGATTCTTCTTAGATTCATATTGGATGTCAATGGTTTGCTTGATTGCATACCAGCATACAAATCTCAGTCTGAAGCAAGAGGTTTATTATTAGATTTTTAGAAACCAAAATACCTTAAACAACCTTCTAGGGAATGACACTTACTGGTATACTGGTGCATCATTGCCAGGTCTGAAATAGAGTACATCGTTTTCATATGTCATAGCTGTGCTACTGAACTGAAAGACACACACACCATTACAAACAGGGCAGTTACATTAGAACTTACTTGGGTTCTGACACAATATCCACCTCCCTTGACTGGCAGATTGCCCAAGAGCAGAGTGTAATTAGGAATGGCCAGAAATTAACAGCCAGCAGCCCTGACTATTGAACTGAAGCTGACTGTAACCAACAGCAATGTCATAGTCAAGAAGAAACAGATTATTAGATAATATCTTAAATATGACATAACACCCCAGAAAGGGAGTGCACTGGGCCCAAGAAAGGTCAGGAGTTTCTGCTGACAGAAACAACATACAGCACGAGGTGCAACCTCCACAGAAGGAAGCTGCAATTGTGACAACTTGAATTTAAGCATAATCTGATCCTTTGTTATTTTGTCTGTTTAGGTGGCAGAAACAGCATTCCCTCTAGTCTTGGGCCAGGTAGACATTAGCAACACCTAGCCAGCTTCTGCAAGATGTACATCTCACCATCATAAACATGTAGTCCATTACGAAACGATTCAGAGGTGTCAAAATGAAGGCTACTTTCAGGAAGCACCTCTGATCTTGAAAACCATTTTTATCAGACAGGAACTTCTGCCCAACTGAATTTAATATCCTCAGAAAAGGAATGCACATGTATTACTTCAGAAGTCAGTTCTGACCTGCTTGCACCTTCTGCTCAACACTGATCCTCTGACAGTTCTAGTAATAACTCCACCCCAATACAAAGGAAGTTCCACATGCTTAAGCCATTACCTTTCTACTTGTTCCACAAGTGTTCACATTGAACTTGAAGGTTGCTGTCTTCTCTGTCACTAGACTGGGTTTGCACTGTCTGTCCCTCAAGACAAACAGGCTGGTATCCAGGTCTCCAAATTCTACCAGCTTTACTGCACTAATAACCACAGTGCCATTGGGCAGGCACTCTGAAAGAGAAAAAAAAAAAAAGTACATTTTCATGAAAATCAGGACTCAGACTCCATTATTTTGTGGCCTAGAACAACAAAGAGGTTTGGCTTGTTAGCAAAGCAAGTTTTGGCAGCTCACAAAGACTAAGTTTTGAGCAAGCCTCTCTTCAGTACTAACACCTGATTCTCTTCAGGCTAACTGCCAGTAGAGTGTACACCACATGACCAAAGCTAGTGATTTAATTTATCTTTCTCTCCTCTCGTGTGCCCTCATCCTCTCCCCAAATGAGTTTTTCTAACCAAGATATTCAGTACATTCAGTACTGATGAGTAGCTTCAGAATGACTAATTCATATGCTGTTCCTTCCCCCAACCCATCACAAAGAGCCCCATTCAACCTCAAAACCAATGACAAAAGCCCTTTAAAAAAGCTTCATAGGTTTGGAGGTGTGAGGGGAAGCTGAGTTTGAGTCATTGTCCCACCCTATACCAGATAGGATAGTTACTCCAATGTGTAATTTGACTTGCTTTGTAGTATTTTACTTTATAGAAAACCTAATAGACAAATAGAGTATCACAAATATAATTTTTAGAAACATTTCAGACTGCATGGGCTTGTCTGACTTAGTTATGCAACTCAAAAAGCATTAAGGGCTAATTGCCAACATATTATTACGTATTAGCTCTGAAGGTGAAAACATGCAGGAAATTGAGAAGTCCCTCCTATTAGCCAAGGTGATGTCATCCTTCAAGGTTAATTGGAGTGAAGTCTTTATTCCAGAGGTATTAAAATCCTAGAGAGGACAATCATAGGTTAAACAAGAGAATAAAGACACTATTCAACTAAGTCTTAAAAAACTAAGAGGGGAACTTATCATAAGCCAAAATTAATGGTGATTGAGGAAAGTCAGCTCCACATGAGATTTTTTTTTTTAAATCTAGAATGAGCTTCTTCAGTTTTTAAATAAGGATGCAATACAGACTCCATTGTATGTCTATTTGCCATTGGAAATAGCTCAGCCTTAACATGCTTGCAGAATGCCTTTTTTATTCTTGCCTACTTCTGCCAACATTAATCAACAGAAATTAAAGTATTCTTCCAAGGGCAGAAAAGTAGTCCTCCACTAATCCCTTGAAGCCTCTCTCAAAGGGAAGTTTCATTTCACCTTCAAGGACATAGCATATGAGGTTCATATCTCAGAGCTAGAGCATGCCTTTTAATTGCTACATGCTGGCACCCTTACCTCGTAGTTCACATGGGAAGAAAGGAAAGGAACAGTGATTGCTAGGTGAGTGCCGTTGTCCCTCAGGCCATAGTGGTGCTTTTCTGCAGCTTCTGGGGTCAGGTGCCAGTCTGAGATGAAAGGCAGCCAGTTTTGGTCCACATTCCCATGAGTGATAATGAGATGGAGGTTCTTCCCATCACAAAATCCCCTTGCACTGGGCAGTACTGCAATAGAGTCAAGAATCACCCATCATGCCAGTTGCCATCCGATTTTAATAGAGCTATTAAGACCTTTGATGGTGTCTCTGGATGAAATTAGCCCAGTTAAAAGCAGAGTTCACAGCCATGTTAATACAGTTTTCTCAGGTTCCACCTGTTTACCTGCATCTGTAACAGTTGACACTGTTATAACTGTGACAGCGAAGGTCTCACTTGTTGGATGGGTTATGAATCCAAGAGTGACATTCAGGGTGTATGCTCTCAGGTCTGCTTTCATGTACTAGAAAAATCACATTTAGGAAATCAAAATCACCACATGATGTCATCATTTCCATACCATGGTATGCTGCAGTGTCTTAGCACACACCTCTTTCTTAATGCCTGGTGCATCAAGTGGGACTTGTATCACATAGGCTTTGCTTCCATTAGCGTGTCTGATCTCATACGTTAGATATCCACGCTGAACAGCTGCAGGTACAGCAACAGTTGCCCCCTCAATGGTTAAGTTCACAAGCTCCACATCTGGGAGGAACGTTCCCACTGTCACGTTCATTAACCTCGCGCTCAGATTTGTGTCTGAAAAGGAATACAAAAGCACTCAGCTCTCAACAGTCCCAAAACCTTTGGTAAATTCAATGTTAGGCTACTTACTGTTGGTAATAGCAAGTTCTACTTGTTCAAATGGTGTTTCTATTTCCTTGATGATAGTATGTTTGGTTAGTCCCCATTTGTCATCTTCCCACTGATGTTCCAAGAACAGGTTGATGGTGTATTTTACCCCATGCTGTCCACTGTTCACAGAAGTCTAAAATTTCAAATCAACACCTTTTAGTATTAAAAGTTAATATTAAAATTGTATTATTACTACCTTACTGCAAGGGTGGTGAGGCAGTGGAACAGGTTGTTCAGAGAGCTTGTCAATGCCCCATCCCTGGAAGTATTCAAGGCCAGTTTGGATGGGACTTTGAACAACCTTGTATAGTGGAAGGTGTCCTTGCTCATGGTAGTGGAGTTGGAACTAGGTGATCTATAAGATCCCTTCCAACCCAAACTATTCTATGATTTCAAGGTCAGCTAAAGCTGCAGCTCCAAACAATGATCCTTCTCAGCTCAGGAATCATGAACTCTAATGTGGCATTTGCTGTATCCCCAAGTTTAGATCATCTTAGAATACTCAGAAGACTTCCTTTCTAAAAATTGCTATTTTACTTTCACCTGCTCTGGAACTTGGGAGCAAGTGATGACTCCTGCAACTTCCTTTGAAGTTCATTTGCTATAATTGCCCAGAATTCAGTTCATTCCAAGCACCTAGATTTAGATGTTCTGTTAGATTACCCATTCCAATATCACACAGTCTGGTAGACAAATGAGTTGTTCTCATTCTCTTAAATGGCCTGTGTAAAATACAACAGAAGCCATGCATGCTTTACAGTCCTGTTCAAACTATCCTCAAGGAGTATTACATCACGGGTAAGAGTCAAAGCTCTGTGTTAACCTGAGGAAGGAGACAAATCAATAGTTTGCTGTAGGATTGCATCCTTCTGTGCTTGCAAGAAAATAAATTCTTCAGAAAGTGTTGCTTACAAGAGCTGTCTTTGGTCAAGGCTTTTGGAATTTTTAATATACCCTTTCTTCCCCCTTCGCCCACTCTTCATTTGAAAGGAACAAAATGAATAATTATCCCTCACCAGAAAAAAAAAAAAAACCAACAAAACAAAACAACAAAACAAAACCGCCTACACCCAAAACAAAAACCAAGAACAGAAAGTCTGTGGCCTGCCACCTAACATTAGTCACTAACCTTGTAATAGCCACCTTCTGCACCTATTGGTATCTTCATTGTAATTGCATTTAAATCATTTAATAACACAAATTTCCTAGAAGCCATTTCTTCAGCAGAGAGTTTGTGTAGACCCACACCAGCTTCAACAAGTACATCCTTAAAGCTAGTTGCTCCAGCAGAAAGCAGTTCAATATATTTTGGAACAGTCCAGATGATTGTTTTGTTACTGTAGTCCACACCATCTTAGGAACAAGATATGTAAATTCATTACTCTAGTTGTAAATTGGTCCCTGCATGTTTAAGCACTGGAGTAAGATACTGCATTTCTTCTCACCTACAGGACATGCCACAGCAGTATCCACCATCAGGATCATCCATCTCTGTTTGTAAAATGTACTTGATCTCACTGCAGAAAAGGTAATCCCCTGATCCTATGGGAAGAGATCTGGTTAGACCTACACAGCCCAGCAGTGTGCTGGGCCAGAATGAGCACACCAACCTGGGCCAGCTGGATTTGTGCAGCAGTGTATGGTATTCGCAGCAGAACCCTGGTGTCTGTGATGTTGAATCCATACCCTGCACTCCAAGCATCTCTCACAACCAGAGCTTTTTTTTCTTCTGGCTGATGAAACACTATTTGCCATATTGAGGCTTCTCTTGCTTCTGCCTACCCAGAGAAATTAAACAGTTTAAATATGACATGCAAAGTAACTGATCATAAAGAACTACTCAGCAGTCTTGTCACTTTATTCTGAATACTGCTAGTGGGATAACTCTCTGGCTTTATCACTCTCTCACACATAAAAGACCATTTCATATTAAGACCAGAGATTTACTGCACTGCTACATTGCAAATACAGGGTTCAAGATAAAAAAAAAAGCCTATCCACAGTTCACCTTTGTGCCTTTGGCTCTTAGAGATACTTTTTGTTGCACAGTCTCTTACTTGGAGAAGACTTCATTTCTAGGCTTTTTGAGAAATGAGTTTCCACTTTTTCCTTGCAGACGTTGCCTACAGCTATCTGTATATCTAACAAAATCTGTACCAAGTGGTTTTAGTATAGGAAAGTTCTACTCGTCTTACCTAACTGCTTTTTGAAAGGACATTTTCTACTGTGTGGACATAGAATAGAAAGATGGTTGTGTCAGAAGTAGTACTAGCTTTTACTAAGGAGAAAACCTGTAGTTTTACCTCTGGAAAGGCAAGAGTCCAGCCCTCAGGTTCATCTTGAATGAAGTCTTCTAGTGTCTGAGGAATCTCTCTCCTGACAGAAACCTGAGGGGAAAAAGCTTCTGTAAGGGGTTTGCTGACAGAACATTTCCTTGTCCTTCAACACTCCCCAAGTCTTTTTCAAGGGAAACTAGTATTTCATAGAGGGAGGTTTCCTCCTACTGAGTTAAAAATTATGGCAGATGGCATCTTACATTGTGTATTACCTATAGTCCACCTGATTTCAGCTTCTTTATTTTCTACCTATCTTTCCATTTCTACTCCAAGTTAAGGCCAGGAATTTGTTCTTGACTCCCACATCTCTTCAAAAAGAAGTCCTTTTTCTCTTGTCTTCATTTCTCTCCAGCAAAGTTAGTAAAGAAACTTCCTTCAGGAAGTATACAATTCTGCTATCTCAAACAAGATTTGTTGAGGCAACACTCAGTGAGCTCAATCCATTAGCTTAACCTTTCGAATGCCATTTCACAACTTTATTGGCTATTAATGCTGTCAGGTATGCTATAAAAGCATAATATAGATGCATCACTGAACTCAAGAGGTATGCTCTGCATTCACTAGCAACCTGTTTGTGGTAGGGCATTCAAATTCTGTTTCAATACACATTCCTAGCATCTTATAAGCTTCAAAGAGAGCATCTTCCAGTACTTATCTCCTTAACTTAAAGGACATTCCCATAAGTACTTCCACTAATTACCTCCATGTAGTTACTTTCACATAGCAACTCTCTTGGACTCCATGGACCATAATAGCAACTTGCAGTCTTCAGATGGGTTGTAGCGTTTTTCATATCAGGGGTATGAGATGCTTTGATTTGTGTAGTTATTATGAATACGTTTTTCTGCATGGACACAAGGAACACTTGCTGATTAAACTGATTTTCCCTAGTTATGCACCACCTATCCTCAAGACCCAAAAGTAAATTACAAAACCCAGCCATCAGCCTCTGCACAGAAGAGCAACTCCATACTAAAGCAATATGCTCTCTACTTGATTAATTACATAGGCTACATGCATATAGGTGCATAGATACACAGCAACAAATACTTTGGGGAGTAGCTTCAACCTTTCACATAGACCCAGAACTGGACAGAAAAAATGCTTCTTAAAATAACTTGTGATCTTGTGTTTTATGACATAGTAGCAGTGAACAAGCAAAACAGCCAAAAAACAAACATAGCCGGTGCTTTTGGGCTTTTATCCTAACATGTCTCAGACACTAAATATTAGACCAGAGTGCAACACAGCTGCTATTCTCTACTTTTATTCAACTGTAATTGAACACAGAATTCTCTGTTGTTATCCAAGACAAAACAGTTGCCCTTCAGGGACATGTGTGATATGCTTCTTCAGGTGTTCATCTATGGGCCATTCAAATGTCAATACCAAGGAATAGCGTCAGACCTCTGAATACATTTGAGGAGAATTAGATAACTTTCTGCTAATAGATGTCAAAGACATTATGAAATCTCAATTAACACTTACCAATAATTTGATAATCTTTTACATAAAGGTAGCATAAAAGAGCACTGGGGTCAAAATGCCTATAGCAGACTTACCTCTAAGCGAGAATGACAGCTTAGTGCAGAAGCATGAAATTCAATGTTACTCCAGTTACTGTAAGTTACTGTGTAGCCACACTGTGATGCCATGGCTTCATCTAGCTCCCAGGCCAGACCAGACTGATCTATGGGCAATTAGTGAAGAACGGTATTAATGAATGTAACTCCTGCTTTGTGAACTACCCCAGTAACCTGCCCTTGCCCCAGGGTTCCTGCTCCAACAGGGCTGAGCTGCACACCCTGGGCTCAGACAGAGAATTGTGAAGTGGTAAAAGAGCTGTAACAGTCTATAGGAAGTAAGAAAGGTAAAACTACAGACAGACTGGGACAGGGAGCACTAGCAACTCAAGGACTGAAGACTAAAAAAAACAAACAACTGCTAACATGGGACAATATTAAATCCCAAAGGGGCAAACCCCCAGTAAGCACAGAACAGTCAAGTCAGTGCCAAAGCTGTCAGCATTGAAAGGTGATGGCTTTAGCAACATCAAGAGTCTGATCTGGGGCTGGCACAGGCCTAAGTTTCTCTCCAACACCTGCCTGGCTGACAATCTCTTCAGGGGTCTTACAAGGATTATGAACACATTAAAGCTTAGCTTGGATTTTTTTTTAGGCTACAAAACTGTTTTTGGGGTTCTGCACTTTTTTTGTTTTGCCTTTTAGAGTTTTTTTTTCCTTGCAAAAAAAAAATGGTGTTATACTTTCAACCTTAACATACCAGCTGCAAAGTGTCTGTCTTTGTGTGTAGATGAAGATGCCTGAACAAAAAACATATGCAGCAGGTTTTTACACAAGTTTAACATTCTAGAAATACAGATGATATGTTACAGATGTCATGGGCTATATCTAGTTAGAGAGCTAACTAGCATGTCAAGCCAGTTCAAGGCCAAGATTATATTTTATGCATATAATCTTACACCTGACAATGTTTTATTGACCAAAAATTATCTCACTCTGCCCTTCCAGGACACTCTGTTGTGCTTTTCTCTCGAATGCACCACTTGTTGGCTAAATCCATAGCCAGAGGGCCCAGCTGTTTTTTCTTAAACTTCATTAAGTATTTATACACCTCTATCAAGTCCCTCAGCTGTAAGCAAAGAAAGTGGAAAGTCACAAGTGCAAAATCAGTCATGTAGTGCCAGCTTCAACTCATGGATTTCAGAACAGTGTGTGCTCTTACCAGGAAGCACTTACCAGGAGTGAAATCCACCAGCACTATCACGCCTAGAAACTACCACATGCATTTCAATTTCAGTCCAAAGCTAGCCACAATTAAACCTGATATTGCTAAGTTAGCACACAACAGGTCTACAGGATGTGTTATACAGCAATAAAGCCAGCGTTTGGCTTGGTTGGACAATGAATTCAAACCAAGTGATCAGCTCTGTGATCTTAGAATAATTCAGGGAATTCTAGAATAGGAGTTCCTCAGAGAACTCTGAGCTTTTCATCATATGTATTTCCTTTGCCAAGTTCTTCCATATCCACTTACCAACAACAGAAAAAGATAAGTATTTGCCCTCAAAGTATTCTGCACTCAGTGTTATACGCAAAAGGTTCCCCAAACACTCCAAGCTCATGGATCCTGCATTGAACACATTGAAAGGCTGATAAGTAGGAGACTAAAGATAACATACAAAGAGAAATCTATAATTTCCCAAATTGCTTTATAAAGTCAACATTGTGACAGCCATACTCCAGCATCTCTGATCAGAAAGTGTTAAAGGTTTAAGTCCTTTTTAAAACCAGAAATACTTCTAGAAGAAAAGATAGACCTGAAATTAATATTTTGGTAATAATTGTGTCTGAACAACCCCACCAGCCAAACCCCACCCAGCAAAAAAAAATCCATACATATGCCACAGTTTGGGGTCAGGGCAGCCCCCAGAACCATAACAGACACTCTCTGTTAAATCCCTTCCACC